ACTGACTCCCAGACTGGGAGTAAGATGAGGCTCATTCAGACAGAGAAAGAGAGTTTTGGGGGTCGGGTTTGGTAACATGGACCAACAGGGATTCTTGGTTTCCTACTTCATCTGTGTCAGGGGCCACACTGCCTCTCTTGGACTGGCGTACAGGGATGAGGAAACAGCTGCCTTCTCTGCAGGCTGCCCTGAGTGAGCTCCAGGAGGCTGCTCCAGCAGAACTTGGCAGATCCACCTCTCCCCGCAGCAGGGAGCTTGAGCTCTCCTCCCCCTAACCTTTCCTGCCCCAGAGCAGCCAACTCACACCAGGTCCAGGAGCTACTGAAGACACGGCCTGGAATCCTTCCTGCCTCTCCAGTTCAAGTTCAAGGGAACCACAGGTTGCTTGGGAAGAAAGCATTGTACATCCTTGGCAAGCCCAAGAAGATTCCAGGCCTGGGCAAGAACATCCAAGAACCCCTTGCACCATATATATGTGTCATGGAACCAGCCCAGACTTGCTTGTGCTTCTGACCTCTGCAACTATCCCCCAGTGCGCTTGAGATTTAAAGGGCAAGCTTTCCAAAAGTGCAACAGCAAAGCCCTTGTTAATCTGGTGAACAGCATTCGCTTCTGGATTTCCATGTGTGATTATCCAAATTATACATTTAAGCATAATCAATACATGAATCTCCCGGAATATGATCAAGCCTGGATCCATCCATAAACAAAGACATTACATAGTTAAGAGACAGGCATTTAAATGGAGACAACAGCATCCTTGCTCTTACTAAAAATTATTGCTTCTTATAGAAAATTAGGTATAGGCTGTGTTATAACAAAGTAGAATTTACTTTTTAAAAAATGCTTTCCTTCAAACTCCTATAATTTGTCTCCTTTTTCTTTCTAAATCAAAGTATATGTACTTTTTCCTCCTAAAATGCTACACACGTGGACAAGCCTGTCGCTAATATTTGAGAAGCCCAGGATTAGAGAGTGAGAGAAGATCCCTGGTCCCTGGCTCCTCCTCTCAGCTCTGGCTCCTGCATTACCAGGAGTCTCGCAGTGGCCTCCCGGGCATACCATGGGAAATTGCAGCTCACACCTCCAGATTCTTTTTTGCACAGCTGCCTTTTGGCCTTCCCTTGGCCCTAGGTATAATCAACCGCCAAGAGGACAGATGGATAAAAGGTCTTCACAGACTTAGGCAGTTGAGTAAGAAATTCCAGGGTCCTAGGAACCAAGCAGGAGTAGGGCTGTGGGCTGTGGGTGGGCACATACCTTCAGAAGCCTGAAATCCTGCTCTTCTGAGATGGACACACCAGAGGAGGACTGGAACAAAGTTCTCTCAAGTGCAGGGGCCCAGAAGAGGGGGCCCAGGCAGCCCTGGTCCATGAGTGGTGCTATAGATCTAGTACCTACACGATGCTTCTGTATATCTTACATAAATGTATACCTTGGTCTGGATGTTCTATCAACACGTATTCCGCACAAACCACAGTCACAGCAAGGTTCTAGAAGGCAAGAACTAGACAGATAACATGTTCTTTGTATAGCACCTACTTTATTTAGCAGAGATACCTTTTGACGTTGCAGTGCAAATATGATTTTTGTCCACTGCCTGCAGAAATCCTTAAAGGGGAATAAGGGAATATTTATTGGGAAGTCATTGTATGAGCAAGGTTGTGTGATACTGTGGAAAACTACAGATGTCAAAAAAATCTCATCTACAAGGGCAGAAGATTTGGAGCTTCCTAGCAGACTCTCTTGTACATGTCTGCAGGTTTCCAGCACTTTCCTCCTCTGGACACCTTCCTCATGCTCTCAGGCCAGGCCACGTGTCCTCCTCAGGGCTCCCACGGCTCCATCCCTCAGCACTTATCAGCTGGTGATGCAGTGGGTCCTTGCTCATCAGCCTCCCGACTGAGCTGTTAAGCCCTGGGGTCTGGCATCGAATCCTATCAGAGACCGCATTCCCATCGCTCATCCTGGGATTGGTCACTTGCTAGATTCTCACTAAAAACTACCCGCCAGACCCCCAGCATTCAGAGCAAATGCAGTTTGGGCGTTGCTATTATAGCTCTTCACTACCAGGCCACTCGAGGTGCTGCTGAATTCAAGCAAAATACTGTTTTAGCTCCTGGAAGAGAGATGGCCTGAAAAATAAATCAAACACCTGAACGTGTAGCATTACAGAAATGGAGATCACTGGGGACACAGAGGAATATCACATTAATGTACTCTGAAGGATGTAAATGCCATTGATTTGTAAAGTTGACCTCAGGTTACATGCCTTTGCAAATGGAAGCCCTGGTTAAAAAGACAGCAATCACACTACTTCAGAAAGAATTCATCTGCACGCACACACACATAGGTGGTATCGCTTCATCTGTAGATCTCAAAGTCTTAATCTCGCTGAAACTGGGTGAGGGTGCCTAGCAAAACCCATGGGAAGCTTTTTATACTCATCTGAAGTATGGCACACTGTATCTATTTTAAGCAAAGTTAACTATAGGAGGCAGATGGATTACTTCAAGGAAATGGAATGTTATGGGAAAGCAATTGTCTTTTGACATAAACCGCATATGATGTTATTTCTACCTGCAATCCAGCACCAACTGGTAGAAATGTTCAACACGGGGCAATACTACCAAAGACAGTCAAAAATGCTGAAAAATACCGAACATCGGCAGGGGCCTGATGACTTTGTAAATCTTACATAGCGGCATCTTACGATTAGGGCCAACTATAGAGGTCCTATGGAACGCTGCCTGCTGTCCCCGCTCTGCAAGTTTTCTGCAGGCTCAAGAGGAGGGGAGGCTGATGCTAAGGGATGGGACTGATCTCGGCTCCGCTGTCCCTCTTCCATGTTACACCTCTCTCAGCTCCCAACCTCTTCTCTGCTCTGATGGCTTTTTGTGTGTCCTCACACTACAGGCTCGCAGCTCCATCCCAGGTACATCCAGTGGTTCAATTTGAAAGCCAGTAGCTTCTTAGTCTTCTCTCCTCTGAAAAACAAAACAAAACAAAACAAAACAAAAAACGAGATAACTTCTGTTGCCAGCAAGGACTGAGCATCCTCCTAAGAGCTCCTGGGACCTGGATCAGGCCAGCTCATGCTACACTGGCTGGGTTTCACCCCCCTAGAGCAGCCATTCCTTTGTAAAGAGGACTGCAGTCAAGAACTAAAAACTTCGAGGTTTTCGAAGTTTCTCACCATGAGAACTAAAAACCAAACTACCTTTTATCTTGTGAAGACAGGTACTTGATTTCCCACATTCATCCTTTATTAGAAAACTCAAAGCACATCACAAGCAAACGTGAGACTGTTCACTGTGCCCCAAACAGGCATTTCGCTACTGACTGGCCATTAGTTCTCCACCACCCATCTTCCTGGAGCCCAGTACTTGCTTTCCCGTAAGTCTTTCTGGACCATGCAGCCAAGAATCTCATCTTTCCTGAGATTCAGAACGCGTCTCTATCACCCGCCTACATAAATTGCTAAATGAGACGATCAATCACTGTCCATCACTAGAATTACTAAAACTCACCTTGTATCTCAGCAGCTGTCTCCTACTACCACCTTAGATTATGACTTCACCTTTCCACGACTTGCCCTCCGCACTAGACAGTCAGCCTCTTGAGGTGAGGATATGTCTCCCTTAATTTTTCACAGTGTGGGTCCTTAAGATTACATTTTCTGAACCCCTCAGTGGGGAGGGGAGAGAAGGGGCCTTTATTTTTAGCAACACCCCTCCGCATAAACAAATTCTACAAAACAGAGACTCCTTGCCCATCTTCATTCTCAGCAGGGGCTGCCCTCAAAGGAGTCAGTGCCGAATGCTCCATTCTATATTGATAAGTGGTGAGACTCCCCCACTAAGCCAGGCCTGAGAACTCCTGGGCCTAAAGACTTTGAAGATCACCGCAAGCCCAGGCAGTGGGGAGGGTGAGGCCCCAAGGCAGCAGTTCCCTGAGGGTCTGTGAAGGTGATTTTTTATATATGTGCACATGTGCAGAGCCTACCCCAAGGGCTGTAAGCCTGGAGGAGGAGTAATGGGACTAAATCACGAAAATCTGACAGAGACACCTTTACGGCGGTAGAACCAGTTCTGAGATTGTCCAGGCGCTTACCTACAGCAGGGGCCAAGCGAGTGCTCAGTTCCAGATCCCTAAATGGGACGATGCCTCTCCTCGGCCACCTACCTGGCTACCTGTGCAGCCCGGTCAGACACCTAAACACGCGACATTCAGAAGGGGCTGACCTGGCCTCTTCCGACAGGGGTCCACCGACAGCTCCTTGCAGACAACCTAACGCTGCCCTAAACTTTTTGCAGAAAGGCTTGCGCGCTCCGTGCTGCCTGGATTTCCCGCAAGGTGACACCTGGAAGAGCCAGTGACTTCTAACGAAAAAGAGGAGCGGCGCTCCTGGTGCTCCGAAATGCCTGGTGTACTCATCTAAAATAAATTAAAAAAAAAAAAAAAGGTCTCTGTCTGCAAATTCCGTTTGCTAGCCCGGTAATCCACCCCCGCCCCCAGCCCGGCGGAGAGGGCCGACCCGTACAGCTGTTTCTAATCCGTACTTTTCTCACTCGGCGTCCCGGGCTCGGGCTGACCAGACGCGGAGCCACTTAGCGTTTCCTCCTCCCCCAGTCGGGGTCTGTCCTCCCTCCGCCGTCTCCTCTTTCTCCGCCTGCATCCCCGGGGGGCAGAGTGTGGGAAGAACGAATTTCCGCCCGGTTTGCCCGCCACTCGCCGACTTGGGTCCCTTCCGGACGCAGCCTGCGCACCCCCGGCTCCTCCCTCCGGCTGTTGCTCCGAGGCCGCGCTCCGGGACCGGGGTCCGGGGTCCGGGGACCCGGAGGCGCGGGCTGCGGGGGCCGAGCCGCCGGGGCGCCGCAGCCAAGCCGCGCCCCGAGGAGCTCTTGGAAGGGCTCCCGCCTGCAGCTGGGGAATCCGCTCGGCGGGGAGAATCCGTGCCAGGGAATCCAGCTCTCCGGACTCAAGCTGCAAACAAAAAGCTCAGGTCTGGCTCGCTCCCTCCGCCCCCCCGACGCACAGCCGGAGGAACAGTTTTGTGCAGAAATGCAACAAGTAGCACCCGGAGCTCCCGGAGCGCCCCGAGCCGCCTGACTTGGCCGGGCGAAGCCCGCCTGCGGAGACCCGGGCCGGCCACCGGACAAAGGGCGGAGGAGGGGCTGGACCGCGCTGCCGAGTCCGCAAGAAGCCATTCGGCGGCTCTGGCCAGGCCAAGGGGAATGCAGAGGAGACACGCAGCAGGCGGGCCAAGAGGACGCTTCGGCCGAAGCACGCAGGGCGGGCGGCGATGGAGGCTGCCCGCGCGGTGCGCTTCCTACTCGTGGTGTGCGGCTGCCTCGCGCTCCCGCCGCGGGCCCAGCCGGTGTGCCCCGAGCGCTGCGACTGCCAGCACCCCCAGCACCTCCTGTGCACCAACAGGGGGCTCCGCGCCGTGCCCAAGACCAGCTCGCTGCCGAGCCCCCAGGACGTGCTCACCTACAGCCTCGGCGGCAACTTCATAACCAACATCACGGCCTTCGACTTCCACCGCCTGGGGCAGCTCAGACGGCTGGACCTGCAGTACAACCAGATCCGTTCCCTGCACCCCAAGACCTTTGAGAAGCTCTCCCGGCTGGAGGAGCTGTACCTGGGCAACAACCTCCTGCAGGCGCTCGTCCCGGGCACGCTGGCCCCGCTGCGCAAGCTGCGCATCCTCTACGCCAACGGGAACGAGATCGGCCGCCTAAGCCGCGGCTCCTTCGAGGGCCTGGAGAGTCTGGTCAAGCTGCGGCTGGACGGGAACGCCCTGGGGGCGCTGCCGGACGCGGTCTTTGCCCCCCTGGGCAACTTGCTCTACCTACACCTGGAGTCCAACCGGATCCGCTTTCTGGGCAAGAACGCCTTCACCCAGCTGGGCAAACTGCGCTTCCTCAACCTCTCCGCCAACGAGCTGCAGCCCTCCTTACGCCACGCAGCCACCTTCGCACCGCTGCGCTCCCTCTCCACGCTCATCCTCTCGGCCAACAGCCTGCAGCACCTGGGGCCGCGCGTCTTCCAGCACCTGCCGCGGCTGGGCCTACTCTCACTCAGGGGCAACCAGCTCACACACCTGGCGCCGGAGGCCTTCTGGGGCTTGGAGGCCCTGCGCGAGCTGCGCCTGGAGGGGAATCGGCTGAGCCAGCTGCCCGTGGCGCTGCTGGAGCCCCTGCACAGCCTGGAGGCGCTGGACCTTAGCGGGAACGCGCTGTCCGCCCTGCACCCCGCTATCTTTGGCCACCTGGGCCGGCTGCGCGAGCTCAGCCTGCGCGACAACGCGCTCAGCGCCCTCTCGGGGGACATCTTCGCCGCCAGCCCGGCCCTCTACCGGCTGGACCTAGACGGCAATGGCTGGACCTGCGACTGCCGTCTGCGCGGCCTGAAGCGCTGGATGGGCGACTGGCATTCTCAAGGCCGCCTCCTCACCGTCTTCGTGCAGTGTCGCCACCCCCCGGCCTTGCGGGGCAAGTACCTGGATTACCTGGATGACCAGCAGCTGCAGAACGGGTCCTGCGCAGATCCCTCGCCCTCAGTTTCCCCGACCGCCGACGGCCGGGGGAGGCCCTTGCCCACCACCACCGGGGAGGCGGCGGCGCCCCCTGCAGGCGGCCTCTCGGAGGTGCTGCCGCGGCAGCCGCAGCCGCAGCCGCAGCCGCAGCAGCGCGGGCGGTTTCTGCCCGGGGGGGCCTGGGACGGGGCCAGGGAGCTCCTGGGCAACCGCAGCGCTCTGAGGCTGAGCCGCCGGGGCCCGGGCCTCCAGCCGCCGGACCCCTCCGCCGCCGCCGCGGGCCCCGCGCCCCAGCCCCTGGACCTGCTCCAGAAGCCCGAGCGGGGCCCGCCGACTCCCGCCGAGGCCGCCCGCGCGGAGCCCAGCCCGACGGCCGCGCCCGCCTCTGCGCCACCGCCCGCGGGCGACCCCTGGCAGCGCGCGGCGAAGCAGCGCCTGGCCGCGCAGCCCCGGGAGAGCGCCGCCCCGTCCGACGGCGGGGCCGGGCCGCCGCCGCCGCTGGTGTCCGACCCCTGCGACTTCAACAAGTTCATCCTGTGCAACCTGACGGTGGAGGCGGTGGGCGCCGACAGCGCGTCGGTGCGCTGGGCCGTGCGCCAGCACCGCAGCCCCCCGCCGCTGGGCGGCGCGCGCTTCCGCCTGCTGTTCGACCGCTTTGGGCAGCAGCCCAAGTTCCACCGCTTCGTCTACCTGCCCGAGCGCAGCGACTCGGCCACGCTGCGCGAGCTGCGCGGAGACACCCCCTACCTGGTGTGCGTGGAGGGCGTCCTCGGCGGCCGCGTCTGCCCGGTGGCGCCCCGCGACCACTGCGCCGGGCTGGTCACCCTGCCGGAGCCCGGGGCCCGGAGCAGCGTGGACTACCAGCTGCTGACCTTGGTCTTGCTGGCGGTCAACGCGCTGCTGGTGCTCCTGGCGCTGGCGGCCTGGGCGTCGCGCTGGCTGCGCAGGAAGCTGCGGGCGAGGCGCAAGGCGGGCGCGCCCGTGCACGTTAGGCACATGTACTCCACCCGACGGCCGCTGCGCTCCATGGGCACCGGCGTGTCTGCAGACTTCTCCGGGTTCCAGTCGCACCGGCCGCGCGCCACCGTGTGTGCGCTCAGCGAGGCCGACCTCATCGAGTTCCCCTGCGACCGCTTCATGGACAGCGGCGGCGGCGGCACGGGGGGCAGCTTGAGGCGGGAGGACCATCTTCTGCAGCGATTTGCTGACTAGCTCCAGAGACTGCAGGGGGTGGGGGGTGGGGGGCGGGGGGGCGAGGGGGGTGCAGGGTGCAGACCCTGTCATTGCCCGGGGAGCCCCTCAGCCGACCTCAGGGGAAGATCTCATTTTATCAGAGCTTCTCCTTTTGTGCACTTGCCGGAGAGGCCCTAGGGGAAGCCGGTTTGGCACCACCACCCCCCCCCCCAATTTCCAGTACTCACTCGTGAAGTGCATGGGTGGTACTTGGCGGTCAAGGCCAAGAGTAGGGGACAAATGGATGGTAGGGGCCAGAGGCGGGAAGCCTTCTTCTGCATGGAGACCTTGGATATGGCTTTTGTGGCTTTGCAGTGCAAGAACCTGGCCCCCTATGGCCAGGTAGAAAAGGGTGCTTTTGCCCTCCCCGGTATGGCCAGAAAGAGATTTGGGTGCATGCATTTTTGTTTGTTTGTTTGTTCAGTGTGAAATAGAAGAGTTTTGTCCTATTTAAGGGAAAAGGAACTTATACAAAGGAGGCACTGGTCTGGTGGTCTCTGCCAAGAAGGTGGAGGCTGTAAACAGGTGGTAAAGTTTAACACACTCGCCAAGGAACTCTTTCATGTTGGTTAATAGAACATTCAGGATAATTTAATGTTTAAATAATTAGACATGCTGTTTTGTTTTGGTTTGGTTTGGTTTTCAACAATGTGAAGAGCTCTGACGTTTAACAAACTGACAATAAACTCAAGGACTATTTTAGTTGAGCTGAGCAGTTCAACTAGTATTTTTTTTTTTTTTTTTAACATTAACACCACAAGAACATTTGCCGACCTTAGGGTTAACTGAGATTACCTACTTTCTCAGGAGAAGGCTGCGTGCCAGACTTCTCTGTCAGGGTTGCTCCTGTGGCTTTTTAATTTTATTTTTCTAAACCCATGTGTGGAAAAGGAAATTTCAGTGCCAGACTTGATAAAAGAATGTACGGTGTGCACAACGGATGACTGTGTAGGGAACAGCGGCCTCCGGGTTGCCCTAACCGCATCTCTGACACTGTGTCCAGGTTGGAAAAAATGCGATGCGGTACTTCTCATGTTTTTATCAGTGATATGCGGTTGATTGTGCCCTGCTTCTCTTGAGTTGCACAGTTAAGTGATAAAGGCAGGGAAGCAAAAGGTGATAGTCAATTGACAGTGTGATGTTCAATCACATTAATGTGTTGTTACTCTATATGAAACAGGGGAGGAAATAATGGGGAAAAATGTGAAAAGTGTACATCAGCGGTTGTTTGTTTCTACTAAAACCAGAAGATTGTTAGGCATACTTAAACCTCACTGTGAAATAATTATATATTTTGCAAGTTAATCCCCCCACTATGCAGTGTTTTACCATGTTACTAAATCTTATCTTTTAGTTAATAATTGCAGTATTTCCCTTAAATGTTTTTGTTTTAGATTTAGGATTAGGCTCCTTTATTTGCTCAGTGGTTTTCAACTATTTGGGACTCTTTGGTCCCCTGATATTTATGAAGTACATGTTTATCACTAAGTGTAGTGCTTTGGTTTACATTAATAATCTTGTGTGTGGTCTAAGAAAAGCAGTCACAGGGAAGATCTGCATGGTTATATTCACCGTGGTTATGGATTTATTGGCAGTGGGGTGCCAGGGAGGCTACTGCTATGGTGCAAAGGCTAACAGTGAATCTTCTGTTTCGGGCCTTAAGCCCCTGAGGGTCCTGATGACTCAGGGAATCTATCGTAGTCTGGGGGTCCTTCAACCCCAGTGCACTCCTTTTATATTTGGCCTCCGTTGAGCCGAGCCTGCCTTTGCCCCAGCAGCTGAGCAGGGACCCAGGGCTCTAAACGAACGGATCTGTGTTTATGTGCAGATGAATAAATGTCCAGACCACTTACAGTACAGCTGCTTCTCTGGCAGTCTTATCTGGGCCAAAACTTAATAAACCGCAGGAAATAGGCTGTCATTCTAAGTTTGCTGCCAGGGCTTGTGTCAGATCCCGAGCATCTTAGTACATGGGGCAGGGGTCGCAGCTCATTCTTATTTGCAACCTTGGGTTATTTACTTACCCCTCTTGTGCTCCTGGTTTTGTTCATGTGTAGAGCAATGGCGTCTTTTAGCTGTTCCTTTTGCACAGCGGTGTAATATTGAGCCCCATCGAAAGTCTGGGAAAAAAAAAACCTCTGATTCTCCCCACCACCCACCCTTTTCAACCGCAGAACATCACTGAAAATACTTCACGGAAAGAAAAAAAAAAATACCCAGCAAAATCTATGTAAAAACACTTCGACTGGAAAGTCCTTTGGTGGGAAATGAATAAATGTTATACATTGTTATGTTCAGTTATGTCAATAAACCCACTTACTACTAGAGATGTTTTATTGTTGGAGTTTCCAAATGTCTTATACACTCGCATAATGATATGCTGTGCTTTTCTACAGCAGTTTTCATTGATGACAATGAAACATAAGCTTGAAACCTGTCTGTCCTCTTGCAGTGGTTTTTAATTGCATCTCTATGGGACAGTATGGACTTTATTTTTCAGAAATAGTTAGGAGAGTTTATGCCCAAACAATGAGATGACTCTAAAGGCAGATGGTGAGCCATGATAAGAAAATGCTGTTAAAATACCAGTGACGGCGAGATGATTGGGTCTCAGCCAACATCAGCTGTTTAAAAGAATCAGGACTTCTGACTCTCATGGTCAATAATAAGAAGGAGCTATCTTGAACTGGAGGTCATTTTTGCCATTACAAAGTTTATGAAAAGATAAGATTCCTAAAGAAAGAAAGAATAAACTTTGAAGTAGGAGTGTTCAGTTAAAGCGCCATTGAAGCAGTCTGGAATGTGGTCAGATCCTCAGCTCAACCTGTAGGATTGTTACTGATTTCCTAAGACAGATCATTGCGCCATGCTGCCCGGTAATACCTGGCATGTGATCAGAGCACCTTCACTAATTTGCAAAAACCTAGTTTTCACCAGAAGTATAGCAATGTGGGCAGCTACTCTGTATTAAGAAACCATCAAAATAGACACTGGATTACCTGGTGTTTGTGCTTAACCACTCCCCAATCTGCTTCTAAGACTTGGAAATAAGTGACAGTGAAGCATTCTCATGCCAAAAATTTATTAAAAATCAAGACCATGACCCAGGGTTAAAACAGATTTCTACCCAGTGTTATACCTTTGCCATCCCAGAGAATAATAGCATTTGCTAAAGTTCAGTATGATTTTAAGGAAGCGATGAAAGCATTTCAGTCGTCTGGGATTGCATTCGCTCCGTTAACCTGACCTCTTTGTGCCTCAGTTTCCGCATTAAAATGGGAATCCAGAGTCCTGACTGCGGAGTGCCATTTTGAGGAATAAATGAGTGAAAAAGCATTTGACAGCACCAGTTCCAAGGCAGATGTTCAATACATATTAGATGTGTTATTAGTAGCAGTATTTTGTGCACAGGGCAACAAATGGTAGGAGACTTTTTAGAAATGTCACGGACAAGGCATTTCTGCTTATGCCCTAACCAATCAGAAAATTCAAGATAATGAGATTCAGTGACCCCCCCCCTTTGTTCTGGTTAGTTGAGGCTCCTGTATAATTTAATGTGGAAGCATAGCTCTTGAAATACCTTCCCACTATTTTATTATGTTTTCCTCTTCCATTATTTTTAAAAAAGAAAAAGTGAATATACTAGTATTTGAGCAAATTTTTCTACGTTTATTAAACTCTTGGCATAAGCTCATTCATCTTTTAGATTGGAACTAAGGATGTATAAATAGTGTTGCTTCCCTTTCACTTTGTGATAGCAGCCCCAAGTGTCCTTTGACTTAGTTTTCTTAAAGGGATACTTTGTATGAACAAATGCTTTTTTCCCCCCTAGGTATTTCAGGTCACTTCATCCTTCTCAATCATGTGGCAAACAATATACTTTTCATTTTATATGGGAGACTAAGGTATTTGGAGATTATATTTACATTGATCACTGAAATAATTAGGGGGAAATGTAGCTTCCTGTTATCTGGTTGCTTTATCTTGGGACAGAAAACCCAAAAATGTCATTCCAACCATTTGAGATATTTTAAGCTACAAGTGGTGTGATTCCTTATTGACACAGAAATGTGGCTTATAATCGGACTGTGAAATGGCATCAGATGCAAGACATAAATTGTCATGTACCAGGATTTCAAGCAACAGCATCTCTTGGCTCTAACCCTTAACTTTTTTTTCAAACCGACCAAAGCTTCGGACTGCTAGCTCTTCCTCCTTACTCTGTCCTCAACACCAGCTACCATTGAGAGTTGAATGTGTTTCTGTTAATCAATTCTTATTCACACAAGTTATGCTGTAGAAGATCACAGAAAACACTGAACGAACAAATACTGAACCATTGCTCTGAGGAGAAATTCAGGTTTGGGTGCCCGCAAGCATCTGGTCACATTTCCATCAACTGATCAATACGTAACCTTTATTTTATGAGTGTTTCTGTTTAAAGACACCTTATTTAATAGATACTGTTGATTCATTAGCACTGAACTCATAGCCAACAGACCTGTAACTCAGGCCTGAATGAAGTTTACCTCACACACCAGCTTTCTTTCTACAACACATCATTGCCATCCTTCACTGAGGAACTGTAGACGGTGCTTCAGCATTAGAGTTTGGGGGCTCCTTAAAATAGCAAATCACCAACAAAAAAAGCAAGAAACTGTAAGAAATGTGGCACTAAACAGTCTAAGAGAGGGACACTTGTTTATAGGAGGAGAGCTGAAACAAGAAGGTGACACATGGCCTCCTTCAGCCTCAGCTAGGAGCATGCATGGGGTAACTCAGACTCCCCATGGCTCTGCATGTGTCCTGGAACGGCCAGGAATGTACTGCAGGGTATTGATTCTGGGCTTACACATAAATGTTGGTGAGTAGGAGAGTTCACAAATACATAATCTGCAAAAAATGATGATCAACTGTGCTTTTTATCTGCCCAGATCCTCCTCCTGTGACCCCACCTGTTTTCTCAAAGCCATAAATTAATTACTCACT